TTCCCCAGCAGCTCCGTTGCCCTTCTCTGGCCACGCTCCAGCCCCTCAAGGTCCTGCTGGGAGGGAGGGGCCCAAAACTGACCCCAGGACTCAAGGTGCAGCCTCACCAGTGCCCAAGGACAGAAAACTGCCATGGCAGGAGGCCAGGCTGCCTCTGGACACCTGAACCTGCACCCATGGAGAAGCAGGATGGAGCCAGCTTAGAGTGGAGCAACCTCCAAGCTCTGCTCTGCAAACAAGTTCTCCACAAGCAGCTTGCAGGGACTGAAGAACCTGCATCAGAAGTCCTTGGGGCAGGTAACCTTGTCCTCAAGGGGTTCTTATTTCTATCTGGGGACAGAGCCATGGTGCTGTGGGACCAAGAGGTGAACTCTGAAGAGGGTCACGTGTCCCAAACTCTTTGTGAGACTCAGCACCAGCTTTCTTAGGTAGCCTCACTAAAACCCAGAGGGAGCACCAGGGACAACATGAAGCCCTCAAGGATGCTGCAGACAGTGCTGCAAACCCAAGAAGAAGTGAGGCAAGGAATCCAATCATTTAGAACCTCATAATTGTGATTCTAAAGAACCAAACCATCAAAAACCCAACTCATCTTCTCCATCCCTTTGATAAGATCCAAGTGAGAAATGTTTGACCCTGAGGGTGTTGAGCCCCTGGTCTAGGTTGCCCTGAGAGGTGGTCACTGCCCCATCCCTGGCACCATCCCAGGGCTCTGAGCACCCTGCTCTCGTTGGGGCTGCCCCTCTACACTGCAGGAGGGTTGGACTGGAGGACCTTGAAAGGTCCCTTCCAACCTAAACCACTCAAAGATTCTATGATCCCACACTACAGCCTGGAGGTAACAGGTTTGATGCCAAGTTTAACGTGGAGGACAAGCAGCAAGGAAGCCCTCCCAGGGAAGATACCTTCCTCCAGTCGTTGAAGAAGTTGTTCTGGAAGACCTCCTTGGTGGTGTACTCGTGGTCAAGCATTTTGGCATAGAAGGTGGCAATCTCCTCCGTGGCCAGGCTCAGCTTCAGGGGTTTGCCTAGGAGGAGAAAGGACCTTCAGCATCCGTTATGGGGCCAGCCCAACCCCCCAAGTGGTTTTTTTGGCAAGTCCCCACGCTCCCACAGGGACACAGGAGGAGGAGAGATGCTGATGGGACTCCAGCACCACCTCCTGCAGCAGGCACAGCCTCTGGTTGGTAGCCAGAGTGCCTGGACATGGGTGTCCAGTCAATCTTGGATCACTTGTTGATAACAGCAAACCCATCATCTTCTCCTCAGCTTTTTTAGATGGAGTAGGGAAGTCTAGTTGAGTCTAAGGAACATCTTGGGTCTTTCTAGGAAACCAACACTTTGAAACAGCTTTTCTAGGCAAGCTGCAGGAAACTCAACCTGCAGAGCTCCAAGGGATGGTTCCATCCTACCTGCTCTGGATTTGGGGGTTCCTGAGCTCCACCTGAACTGCAGAGCAGGGTGGGTCACAGCCTTAGAGCAGCCCCACGACAACCTGCAGACACCAGCTCAGCCATGGTCCCTTTCTACATGGCATTGTCCCCTGTCCACAAATGGGTTCATCCAGGAACCAATCACCCAAGATGGCCCAAACCCACGAACCCAGACACACACAACACACAGATGGGTCTCCAACAACTCCAAGTCCACAAGGAAGGTTCAAACCCTCTGCAGGTCTCCAGGCAGCTGCCAGGGCTCCTCCTTGGAGCACCAAAAAGTCTCTGCTAGCCCCATCCATGTCCCAGCAGTGCCCTCTGGTGACAGCGTGGCCAGACAGCTCATTTCCCTAATTTGGGCTTTTTTGCCCCCTCCTATTCCTTCCCACAAGGACTAGGAAGCCCCAGTGAGGAGGTTGAGAAGGTCCAAGACCCCAGAGGACTGTGGTCACCTCCCATCTTCAACATCCCTTGGTCAAGCCCCAAGGTCCTTGTTGCCTCCTTGCTTTGATCTGTCAGAAGACACCTCAGGGATGAAGGGGAGGGTGGGAAGGAGAAGAAAGACCAGTAGGCATGGAGAGGGGAACAAGGACAGCAAAGACCTGGCTCTGTCCTGCCCATCTCTCAGCCCCTTCACTGATGGAACCAAGCTCCTGTAAGGTGATACGTGGTGGCCCTGAGGACAACACTGAGAGCCAGGAGCTCAGAGTAGCCCAAACCCTGCAACATCTTGGGGGACAAGTGATGGGTCAGTCACTGAGACCACAGGACAGGCAAACAGCTCAAAAAAAAAAGCCAAGATCACTTTCCCAGCTTGTGGAGGAACCACGCACGAGTTGAATTAAAACTCAACCCCCAAAAGGCATCTTCATGGGCCAAAATTGCTCTTCTTGGGTTTCCTCCAGGCCGTCTTCACAGGAGGGACACGAGGACTTCACAGAGCCACACGTGGTGGCCTTGACAGCACCCTAAAAGCAGCTGGAGGCAGCCACCCAAGAACCTCCCCCCCCGTGTCCCAGGGTGGCTGCATGAAGCACCCTGCAACCATCAGGGGCTCCCCCAAGAACCCCCAAATTCCTACCACGTGCAAAACTCTTCTTCAAGCTTCATCCAATGGGATATTTGGGTCCTTTAATAGTTTGTGGGCTGCAATATCTCCTTGCCCCAGTAGAAGATCTGGCTCTTTGGCCAGGCAGAGGACAACCTCCACCTGCCCCAGGTCCTACTGGTGGACGTACCATCGTAGTAGAACCTCACATCATCAGGCAGTGGCTCGTAGAGGGGGACAAAGTAAGGTCCACGGTGCTCCAGCTGGGTCCACTTCACTCCATCTTCTTTCTTCTCCTCTGCCCACCTGGGATAAAGACACACAGGGCCCCGTGAGGACATCCCAACCCTGGGAGCTGAGACCTTCTGCCAAGATGCTTCTTGGTGGTTGCCACAAAACCCAGGGGAGATCCTGTCGTTTCTGCTGCTGCCTGAACTTTCTCATCCCTTCAGCCAAGGATGACCACGATGCAACCCAGGGGGAGGCATCTTGAGGAAGGGGCCATCCTTGGTGCAGTGGGAGAGGGATGGAGAGGGAGAGGAGAAGAGAGGGATGGAGAGGGAGAGGGAGAGGGAGAGGGATGGATCAACCAGACTCAGGGGGGTGGGCAGGAAGACCCCACTGCTGAGTTGGCACAGGAGGGGCTGCAAGCACTAAAATGCCCCTTCCCTTCCCTCCCCAACCCCCCACTGCCTCATTTTTGGGGGGAAAGGCAGCCAAAAAAAGACATGAAGAGGTCGACATGCACATGCCAGAGACAGGCACCACACGTCTGGCTGCTGTCATGACAGGACAAGGGAGGGGGTGGGGTTTAAATTGAAAAAAAAGGGAGATTTAGAGTGGAGAGAAGGGAGAGATTGTTGCTGCTGAGGGTGCTGAGCCCCTGGCCCAGGTTGCCCAGAGAGGTGGTAGCTCACCCCAGGGGAGGTTGGAACAAGCTCTGAGCACCCTGCTCTAGCTGGGGCTGTCCCAGCAGGGATGTTGGACTAGACCTTTAAAGCTCCCTCCTAACCCCAAAACATTCCACGATCCTCCTTATCATTATAAATCTTAATGCCAATAAAATCTCCCTGCAGCTCTCCCCCCTCTGGAGCCAGCAGGATTTAAACTCACTCCAAGCTTGAGTTGGGAAATAAACATTATTTCTGGTTAAAATAATTTCAGATAATTATAATACAGCCCAAATATCCCCCCAAAAAAGAGCAGAATGGCACGAAAAGAG